TCATGGATAAATACCATAGTCAGGATATTGGTTACTTTGGGAGGAAAGGGAGGAGATTTAAAGCAGAGAGAAACATGCAAGTGATTGCAATTTCACCTAATTTTAAAAATTGGGCAATTTGTGTATGCCTAACATTTTTTGTTGGTTTAAAAAAAATTAAAGAGGGACACCTGGGTGGCTCAGTGCGTTAAGCCTCTGCCTTTGGCTCAGGTCATGATCTCAGGGTCCTGGGATCGGGCCCCACATCGGGCTCTTTGCTCGGTGAGGAGCCTGCTTTCCCCTCTCTCTCTGCCTGCCTCTCTGGCTACTTGTGATCTCTCTCTCTCTCTGTAAAATAAATAAATGAAATCTTTAAAAAAAAATTAAAGAGAACTAGAAGATGTATGTAAGGTGTATGGGTTTAGGCAAAGGGAACATGGTGGGAAAGGAGGAGTGGAAAGAGGATGAGTGGTTAGGGATGAAGTAGTCTGGGAGGAGAGCCAGGGTAGTAGAAGAAATGATCATGAGATGAAAGTAGTCCAGAAAGAATTTGAAATGAAAAGACAAAACTTAAAGGCACATTGAGGAATTTGGAGAGAATTTTAAGTGAGCAGTCACATTTTGAAAGCAAAACATAAGGACAAAGTATCCCCAGCAGTATTTTGGACAAACTAGTGGAAAAGAGGGCATGGAGCATAGAATGGAATCTAGGAAGGTTGAGTGATTGTGTGAATGACCTTAGGGAAAGGATTGAGGAGTTGCTTGCCAAATTTTCAGGTTCTACAAAGATGGGAATGAGAAGTAATATACTGGACAGAATCATAACTTTTAAAAGGTATGAATGTCCTAGAATGAGGGCCTGAGGGAAAGAATATTATTACACTGGTTTAAAATGTGTCACAGTACACCTACAATTTTTTTTTCAAGTTCTCTAATTACAAGTCTTGATTCAAGCTGAGGGTTCTGGTACATGGCAGGATAAATGAGGCCAATTGTGTAATGTTACTGTTGAAAAGAAATTTTAGAAACAGAGTATCCGACTATTATCAGCAATTGTTCCAAGCAGTTGGTTTCAGTACTTGGCCTTGACAAATTACAATAATAAATTAGGAAGATTCCAGGGGAAAGAAACCAAAATGTTGAGAATGTAGGCAGTACTTGGGAGCTACAATGGGATGTTCTCCAAAAATAGGGAAACAAGATTGCCCTTTGAGAATTAAGTGAAAAAGAAAAAAATGCACTTGTGTGAGTAGGATTAACCCAACATGCTATCTGTACATGAGTGACTACAGGTGAGTTAAATATAGGGTGATAGGACTGGACATGATCCTAACAGAGGAAGAGGAAACCTAATCAATGATAATATACATTGTCTAGAGAAAGACTGGGTAATACACTTGGTGGGGATGGCATGGGAGCACACAAATTCTGACATGAATTATAATTTTCATTGTAAATCAGTAAATCAGCACTCTAATTTATACCTCTGAGTTTTACATTTGGAGAGCATGATTTGGATAGAATTTTTCATGTACTGACAAAATTCAGCTTCCAGATCAAAGCCTGGAAATGTGAGGTAGTATAATCTTTCTCCACCATAGGCTCCTTCTTTGTCATGGAAAAACATAGGGACACTAGGACACCAAGGATGTGTGCTGAGAAGAGAGAAGCTAGAGGGGATCCCTTATACCTATCTTCATATGTTTAAAGTTCTTATAGGAACAGAGTTATGCTCTTGATTGTTGGGGCAATGAACAGACCAAAGAATAATGTATAGACAATACAAAGAGTAAGATTTCAGCTGGCCCAAAGGAGGAACACACTAACAATTTAAAATTCTGACAGTGGAACAACTGTCTCTTTGTAAGTTAGGATTGGTCATAAGCAACAGAAAAGTTTGGATAACAGTAACAAAGGACTATCTCTTTTGAGCACCATCATCATGACAAATCACCTTCACTGACTTTTTTCTGGAACTACCAGGAAATAAGATCTGATTGGCATAATGAGGTGACCCCACTTTTTCCCTCTCTGCTGTCCTGGCAAGGGCAAGGCAGAAAACTGACTGAAGGTTCCATTGAGGCTTCATACAATGGCAAAAGGAAATCTATGAAAGGAAAAATAAGGAGCAGGAAAAAAATATTAGAAACTTACTATGTTCTCATCATAGCAAGGGTAGAAAGAGTGGTCACCTGCTTGTCAGGAATCCTAATGAAGGGATTTCTGGGCTGGAAAGAAGTTGGAAAAGATGATTTAGATCCCTTCTAGTTCTTTGTTTGTAAAGAGGAGTAGAGAAGTAGAATTGATTACTGAGATTTAAGCTATTAGGAAAGCCCTAATAAGGGGAAGATGGGATACAGATAACAAGGAAGTGAGCCATAGAGTGGACATGTTTGTTCAGTGGACTAATGGCTGGCATTGGTCATTGACTGTCATGGGCATTGAGGCATCATGGAAAGATTTTGGACAACGGGATACATGCAATAAAATCTTTTGGGGAAGTTTAATTGGGTAGCTATTAGTACACTGAACTAGAGAAAAGTAAAACCAAAGGCAAGAAGGTCAAATTTGTTTTGATGGCCTGAGCCAGGGGGATAGTGAGCAGGAAGGGAAAAGAAGGAGCCAGTGAAAAGGCATTTCTCAGGTAGTGTCCATAGAAGAGAGAAAGGAGAGAGTGAGAGAAAAAGGTCAAGAGTGACTCCAGGTTGCAAATCTGGAGATCTAAGAAAGTGATAGTACAGCTGGAAGAAAGATGATAACTTCTAATTCAGATAGATTGTGTTGAGATCATGGATATCAAGTCATAGGGGCTTGAGGTGAGGGAGAGATACCAAGGCTGAAAACATAGATCTAGGATTCCATAATGTAGAAGTTGCCCTGGAGGAGGTCATATGAATAGATGATTCTCTATGAGAACAGAGTATCATGCCAAAGGACAACTACGTATTTTTAGAAGGAAGTAATCACTATGAACTAGAATCACTAGAAGCCATTTCAGGAATAATGAAACTTGAACTGGCTTTGAAAGGAATGGAACGGGAGAAAGAATTCCACACTGAGACACACTTATAACTAGGATTGAGTAACAAAAAGAAAAAATGAACTGATCTGCACAATCCCTCTAAAAACAAATTCTTTTTATTCTGCCACCCATCTGCTTACGCCACTGTTATGGATAGAGAAATGGAAGTGAGACATGATTGAAGTTAGCAGGTGAAGACCACAGGAGAACTACTAGCTCTCCAGCCTTGCTGGTTTGGTGGGCTGCTGATCAGAGGGCTTAAAGGACAGAGAGTGCTCCTGGTGACAAGGGACCTGCCTGCCTTAATGGTTAAAAGTGGGGTTATACAACAGAACTCTCCTGTCCTAAAATTCTGAATTTGACATCTGTTAAAATAAGCAATTGATGAAGAAAACCAAAGAAATCACTGACAGTAGTGACCTCTAGTGGAAATAGTCTTCAGGGAATACATCTATATCTATACATGCCTATATATAGATATCTATATCTATATTCTTATTAGATAAGATGAAAATCAGTGGCATATTCAGCCAATTGGTTTCCACAGGACTGTGAAGGAAGGGGCTGCTGGAAACAGCACAGAAATCCTGCCCGGAAAGTGGAAATGTACCAGGAATACTTTGTGTTTTGAGTCAGACTAAGCTGATTAACGTTTTGGGAAAAAAAATAAATATGGACACATAACTGCTGTCAAAGAGGTTATCTGAGAAACAAGTGTTTGGGCAATGACTTCATTGGCCACAGTGGGGACATGGTGTGTTCATAGCAGCCAATAAGTGAGCAGGCTGACAGTCTTGGGGAGGAAGCCACGCTGGCTGCTGGTAAGCCTTTCAAACATCTCTCCATTAAAACATGGAAGAAAGCCGTGATCTGTGAAATGTGTACACATTTGGTAATTCAGTATTTTATGGCTAAAGTCCTGTCTCTTTCCTCTGCCCGGGTGCTGTTTGTGCCAAGTCTTAACAAACGTTACTGAGCTGTGAAGATGCAAGAGATGCTTGGGAGAGTTGGCCTTTGAAATGGGACTAACCTCATGGAGGGTCCAAGCACAGTGAAGAAAGGCAACAGCAAACCACACGGGGCACTCCACATCCACCCCCTTTAGGAAGTGCTTTCAGAATATATAATCTTGACATTGAGGAGAAACAAAGGGATGGGAGGTTGATGAGGATTTTAAATTTGTCTGATCACACTGCGGGCTAATGATGGGGGAGTTGAATTAAATGGGTGGGTATAGAAAAAGGAGTAAAATGAGAGTTGGTTTTGTTTGTTTGTTTGTTTGTTTGTTTTGACAGAGAGAGAGATCATAGGTAGGCAGAGAGAGAGGAGGAAGCAGGCTCCCTACTGAGCAGAGAGCCTGATATGGGGCTCGATCCCAGGACCCTGGGATCATGACCTGAGCCGAAGGCAGAGACCTTAACCCACTGAGCCACCCAGGCGCCCCTTGTTTTTGTTTTTTTAATGGAGATTGTATAGAAATACACAGAATCAGTGTTATCAAGCCCTGGGCAACTGTCACTTCTGGCAACAGAGTGATCCTTGTGCTTGTCTCCTGTTTCCTGTGTGGCAGGAGGTGTCATCCTGCCTTCTTTCATTATTCACCCTCCTCCACACACCCTGCTTTGTTTACTGATGCTGTCATATAGCCTGGCCCATCTGCTTTTCCCAGGATTTGCTCCCACTCCTCTCCGTGTCATTTTGAGGATAGAAAAACAGCCCTTAGATAAGCCTTTTTGTGATAATTCCTCCTTGGTATGCAATTTCCCGAGTTCTCATCCTTGGGAGTGGGCAGTAGGCAGCCTCGCTGCCCCCATAAGTCAGTGACTACCCTGGTGTTATTTCTTAGATGTTAAACTAAACCACAGAGCGGGGTTAAAAGGAACCAATATTAAGTGGTCTTTCCTCTTTCCCCATGCAAAGATTCTTTCCCCCAACATATACATACAATTATTTGGCTCTAAGTTACTTCAGTATCTAGTTTAAAAACTAGTTTACTTACCAAAGATGAGCTAATTACTTTAATTTGCTCCAAAGCTTCTGTCAGGCTATCTTCAATCTCGGAGTCATCTAAGGAGAAGAGGTCCCCAGCTCGTGAAAGATCTTTTTGTCCTAAAACCAGTCTGAACAGTTGATGCATGATGAGTAGTTTGATAATCAGTGGACTTTCTGCAGGCCCAGGGCCGTATGTTTCAGTCATCAGAGGTTAGTAAGACAAAAACATACAGTAGGAAGTATACTTTGTAATCCTTGCAAGGTCATTTTTCTCCAGAATTTGAGGTCTTCTTTGACTCTCTCTGGAAAAGAAACAAATGATACAATGTAAGTATTAGTAGAATGGCCTGGCTCAGGATATGAACTTGGTGCCCAGCAGAGAGAGGGAAAAAAAGACATTTGGAAATGCGCACAGAGTAACAGATCCCGACTTGATGACTTTCAAATGAGCTCTTCCTTTGTTTGTTTGTTTTTATCCTGAAAGGTCTTGCCAAAAATTATTAGGTTTCTCTAGAATTTACTATGAACCTTAAAAAGCTGCTTAGCCTTCACACTTACTTGTCTCCTTTCTATATGCTTCTCCTTCTCTCATGCCGTAAGGAAACAAGTAGACAAGCACTGATACTCTCAACACTCACCAGATTTCCCCCAAACAGATTCCCATGGAAACAAAACAGAAAAGGGCAATGAAAGGAAAGAGCGAACACAGAAAACATCTCTTAGAACCACTGCCTGAGTTTCTCTTTATTCCTGGACAGGGAAATCAGTGCTTGCCTTCTTGGCTGGGTTTCTTTCCTATACGGACAACAGAAGCTCCCCCCACCCTACATCCAGGAGGTGATCTCAATACTTGCCTTGTTCATATATACTCTCTAAATAAGTAGAAATGAAAGAAAGGATTCTGCCTGGGAGTATGAGGCTACAGATCTCTGCTGAATGTGAGTATGAATTTGAACTTGAACACCGAACTTGAAAGTGATAGCATTGTGGATGCAGGCTAAAGAGGGAAGGCATTGGGATAAGGCAATCTTCCCTCTATTCCCACAGTTGAAGTAATAAAGTCCCACTATATTTCTTAACTCAATTAACAGTCTATAGAGAGAAGGGCAATGGCACAAAGTAAATATCTGATTTTTCTCATCAGTTCTCCTCTGGGCCTAATAAAATCACAGACCATTCGCGCGGGTAGAGACCTTAGCCATCGACTTTCCAAAGTCTCCATGGTAGTTACAGCGGTGCTGTTCTCCTGATTTCAGGCCAGTGGGCTTCCCTGTGGTTTACAATGAAGTAGAGTCATCTCATGTAACTTACAAATGCAGATACATGTTCCGAGAGTGAGAGCCGAGGGTGATTTATTTAATATAAGAATATAAGCAGTAGGCAATTCTGCCCAGCATTTCATTCGGAATGTGTTCCCCAGAATGAGTGTGAAAGGGAAAGGGGAGTCTGTTGCTCCCTTGGGTGATCTCAGACCCCCTCCCCGAGCTGTCACTGTGAAGACACCTCTGGGCACTGAATGCAATGTTAAAGTTTAAAGGTACATATTCTCCATGCAATGTGGTCTCTAAACACAAGCCCAGTCCTTCACCGGGTGCTTGTTAGATAAGCTCTATCAGTGCAGTTTGTAGGCCACGGAAGGGCTGTCAAGGGCAATATTACCTACATGCAACTTTTGTGCTATCTACCAGCTCTAGAAAAACGATACCCAATACTTACATATGCTTGCCTTCGTGCCAGGCACTGTTCTGGGCGCTTTGCAAACATTAACACACTTAACCCTCATAATAACTATAGAAGGAAATTTCATCCCCATTTTAGTGGTGAGGAACCGAGGCATTAATAACTTGCCCTAGCCACACAGCTAGCAAACTGGAGACTTGGGATTTGGGCCCAGAGATTCCAGGGCTAGGCTACTGGTTCATTACCACTATGACATGCTGATTTCACATAGGGCTTCATGCACGGCTACTGTTAGGAGTAAAGTCCTCAGAGCATTATTAACATTTGAAGATAAAGACATGGGTGGTGTCATAAAGCATGAAATGAATTTCTCTTCCCTCCGACACTGAGGGAGGGAGGGACTCTGCAACCTTGCCCATCTATACCCTGGGGTTTAGGCCAAGCATACACCAGGAAAGTCACAAGGAGGAGAAGCTTAGAGGAAGAGAAAATCAGGAGAGTTCGTTGGGGGTGGGGGTTCAGGGGAGAGTTTTGGGGGCTGGAGAGAGAGCAGAGTGAGAGTCCTACAAAGTAAGGATGTGGAAGGTGGAGTACGGTCTCTATAGGAAAAATTAGGACCGTGTTTTCCTGAATTGTCCCCTGAACAAATTTCTCCCCCTACCTTCAGGGATTGGCAGTGACAGGGTCTCAGTGAAATAATATTCAGGAGAATAAGACATTGGATGCCCAGCCAGCTTGTTGGTCAACATCTCACCGTTCCTGAAGCAGAGACATCTGCCCCAGACATAGCATGGCTTGAGCATGGAGATGGAGCAGAAATATGTACGGGTCGAGAGGAGCACCCCAGGTTTTCCCTGGTCTCCTTCTTTGCTCTCCACACTTACAGTGACCCCTGGTACAGAGCCCGACATTCCGGCTGTTACCCTTGAGTATCCATCATGTACAAAACAGTATTGTTCAAAACACCATCGTCCATGAGAACTTTCACACATCTAAGGTGAGGTAGAGAGAGGTGAGACTTACACCAAACATTCTACAACACAAGGATGACCCAGAGGAAAGTCTCCTCTGTCCCATAAAAGGAAGTTTGGGGAATTACAAGGGAGAGAGCTATCTCTCCTGGGGAAGATGGTAACGAATGGCTTTGTGGAGGAAATGGTGTTCAGGCCAGACATTTTCAGACAGGTTTCCTTCAATGCACATGTGCTGAGGATATACTAAATCAGCTGCTTGTCTGCAGACTGAGGTTCGGTGCATGCTTTTCCCTTCCCTGAGCCTCAGTTTCTTTATCTGCAAAATGGGGCTAATGCGTGCCTCGTCCATCTCACCAGGTCATTTTGAAGATCAAAGCTAGTAACACATAAAAGAGCCCTTTGTCAAATAATGACACCAACAGCTAATGTTTAGCAGGTGTTTACCATGTGGCAAGCACTACTATGAGTGCTTCCTGAAAACTGAGTCACTTAATTCTCATGACAATTCCATGTGATGAGAAACGGATGCTCAGAGAAGAAAGCAACCAGCCCAGGAACACCCAGAGAGTAGTAAGCTGCAGAGTCAGAACTGAAGGTAGTTGGTCTCCCAGAACGAAGCCCTGTCAGCTGCATACATGACCACGTGTGATAATTATTGAGCTGCTTGCTTCTATCAGTCTTCATGTAAAGGGCACCCCACATGGTACATTATACCGCCCCTTCCTGGATAAGGATCAGCAAGGCGTGTTATTTATTTTTCAGCAGCTCTGGTCAATGTTTTGCTCAGGTGTCTGGCTTCCCGGGCTGATCTCTCTGCAACAGTAGAGAAGGTCAGAGACAGATCAAGTTCCACCTCATCCTCTGAGAAACTCCCTACCCTTATGAATGCCACAGTCCTGCGGCCTATATGCACATGTACAGATGCGCCCACCGAATCCACACAAGCAGGCACGTGCATGCACGTATGCACATGTGTGTGCACCGCCGGGGTTCTCGATGCACTCAGCTCTTTGCTAGAGACTTTCTCCTCCATTCTCCCATCAACTCGGCAGGTAGATATTATTACCAAAGAGGAAAAAGGACTGGTGCACTGCGTCCAAGGTTACACACAGAGCCAAGATTCACTTCCAAGTAGGTCAGCCTCCAATCTTATACTTTTGGAATTACAAAAACCGACATATAAAAGCCCTTCTTACTCCCAGCTTTTGCTCTCCTAGCTTCTCTCCCTAATCCTTAAGGGACCCTCACCTGAAGCCCACTTTCTTTACTTAGTATCTATTTTTTTCAGCAGGTATCTGTTGACAAGTCAAGTTTCTGCACGGAGACGCAGACACCACACACAAAAGTGATTATGAGTCCCATGTGACACATATCAGGGAGTCCCAGCTGTCCCCACAAACTGGATTTACCTGCGTGCTACTCTTCAAAGGCGGGCAGCTTGCTGTTACTCAGCCGGCTGTTTTGAGACTGGGTGGGAGATCCGAGCCACGGACTCCGAGCGCACGGCGAGGGGAATCCACTCAGCTCAGTGAACCTGAAGCTGCTCATTGCTGCGCTCGCTCTTGTGCCGGGTGGAAGAATTCAAGGAATGCAGCCTACTGCCACTGGCATCGCCAGAGCCGGTCAGGTGACAGGCGGCACCTCACCCAGTGGAGAGTTGCCTCTGAGAGAAAGGCTCTGTTTCCTGGGGTGAAACAGAAAGCCTGCCCCAGTCAAGTGAAGTTGTTTTTAACAGAGAACACAAAACCCCCTGTGTTCCTGAAAATCTATACTTTCCCTGGGAAGAACGGGGCTGGAGGGGGGTGGATAGAAAAAGCCACTCAGGAAACAGTTTCAACAGAAACTCTGGCAGGTGAACGGAATGGCTATTGGGGGCCATTTCTCAAAGCCTGGGGAAGAGAGGACTGCGGTTTCATGAACGCCTCACTCCCTCCCAGGACTACACACCCAGAGTTTGGAACACTGAGCATTTGTCCTGTGAGTCACAACTCCAAAAGCTGTGGTCCCCTTGTTCTGCCTCCAGATTAATACTGTTGCAAATTTAAGGATGCAGGAAGTTGCTACTAAAATGAACAAATCACACTAAACCAAAAAGCATACCTTCTTTTTTTCCACTCCACTCGCTGGGAGATTTTTTCCTAAAAATCCACTTGGATTGGCACTTTAAGTTAGATTCGTACGTTAAATATTGCCGTGACACTCAGAGAAAATGTTTATCTTGTTTAATCTTACTGATAATCTAGAGGAGAAAAAGATCCTGAAACTCTCAACAGTTAGTTTCAATGCTTAATGGTGCATTAAGAAAACATGTTCTTAGAGGTGCCTGGTAGTGCAGCTGGTTAATCATCGGATCCTTGGTTTCAGGTTAGGTCGCGATCTCAGGGTCGTGATCCCTGCTCAGGGGGGCTCCGTGCTCAGCGTGGAGTCTGCTTGAGAGTCTCTCTGCCCCTCCTGCCTGCTCTCTCTCTCTGCTCACTTGCTTTCTCTCTCAAATACATAAATCAAAGAAAATGTTTTTTCATTGTATTCCTCTTTATCTCTAATTTGTCCT